GTACATTCGATATTTCGTAATTTTGAAAACCACTCGCATGTTTATCAGGTAATGTTTTAATCGTTATAAAACGAGGTGTAATAAAGTAATTTTGTTTTACGTAAGCTACAAGTTAGGTTTAAGTTTCATTTTCAAGTCATACTATACAAGAGTTACGGTGTTTCTAAGAGCGACATTAAAATCGATTGGTTTGGTTTGAACTTCGCGCAAAAGCTACACGAGGGCTATCTGCGCTAGCCGTCCCTAATTTAGCAGTGTAAGACTAGAGGGAAGGCAGCTAGTCATCACCACCCACCGCCAACTCTTGGGCTACTCTTTTACCAACGAATAGTGGGATTGACCGTCTCATTATAACGCCCCCACGGCTGAAAGGGCGAGCATGTTTGGTGTGACGGGGATTCGAACCCGCGACCCTCAGATTGAGAGTCGAGCGCCCTAACCACCTGGTCATGCCGTGCCCATTAAAATAGAAAACAATGGAAAAGTCTGTTTAAACAAGAAAGAGACATTGAGGACAAATGTTTCATCAAACGGTTCAATGTGTTTAATTTTCGCACATAGCTGTTCGATGCCTATCTATACTACCCGACCCTAATTTTTGAGTTAAGGCAGCTAACGCTTGAGCTATTCTTTACTAACGAATAGTAGGACTGACCGTAGCATTATAGCGCCCCCAAGATTGAAAGGGCGAACATGTTCGGTGACGGGTTTTGACCCTCAGATTACGAGTCGAGCACCAAACTTGTTAATGTGATTCAATTATGTCTTTTCATATATTGGATTCCACAAATAGTAACGTGTATGATGAATTCTGTTTTAGTTAAAAGGTATTTTTCATGTAACCATGAACATACTACTTAATCCTTTTGCAATACGAAAGAAGACTAAGTTTAAACAGCATGATTGTAAGGTAATTTCTTACTGTTTTTCTACGTGGTAGCAATAAGCTTTGGTTATATAACTTAACAGAAACTTGTATTTATGGCAAACCTCAGCGAATTTAAACCGACCTGCTATGTAATTAAATCGCTCAGGCTGCCATAGCCTTGCTTAGAAATAAATGTAAATCGGCTTGATTCAACACTGGTGATTCGTTATACAAGTTAATTCCACGTCATCTCTTCAGAAGGCACATGGCTTTCCTGTTAAATTGAGTAGCATGGTAATGTTTTGTATTTTATTAAACTTCAGTTTGAATAATGAACATATTATAAATAAAAGTTGCAACGTCCCGTATCTCTGACTGCAACGTCCCAGAAGCGTCCCGTATCTCTGACTGCAACGCCCCAGCAGCGTCCCGTATCTCTGACTGCAACGTCCCAGGAGCGTCCCGTATCTCTGACTGCAACGTCCCAGCAGCGTCCCGTATCTCTGACTTAATTTGTATCAG